CTCTCTATACTATATATAAATAATTTAAAAAAAAAATTTTTTTTTTTAATAAAATGGCTTCTGAGGAAAATGTGCTTCTTACTTTATTTGACATTATCTCAAGCTTTCCAGTATCACAAACCCTTCTCCCTCAGCAGAGCTGACTGCTACAGGGCGCATCCCCAGGTGGTGGATAGGGGAACGACCTTCAGATATGAAGGCCAGCTGCGAAACAAGCAGAATAACTCTTGACAAATAAGCAGTCGCGAACCTAAAGCAGCATTGTTAGAAGAGGAGAAAGACCTTTTAAAAATCCCGAGTTCAACTGACACAGTTGATAGACCTCAGTACGGGTTCCTCTTTAGGGATACAGAGGAGCTGCGTCTGTACTCATGTTTGACTTGGCAGCAAAGGTCTCTGCTTTCTTGTTAGGAACGGCCTCAAATTACAGGCAAAGTCAGACTTCCACCAAAGTGTGCCTGAATCATGGTGCCATGATCAACAAAAGCTGCACCCCATTCCATGAGATTGCATGGGGTAATCTTTACACAAGGGGATAAGAAATGGCAACAACAACAAACCCTTCTACAGGATGACAACTATGAATCTTCAACTAAAATTTATACCTTGATATACAGTTAAACCTGTCTATAACGCCCCCTCTTGGGACTCACCAAAATACGGTGCATTAGAGAGGGGGTGCTATAGACAGGTTTAAACTGTATATAAATATGAGTTAAAAATTAGGATTCATTTTGTCATCCTGTAGAAGGGAACCCCCAAAAGCTTGAGATAATCCCTATATATATAAAAGTCAGTGTATGTATGTGTGTTTGTTCCTATGTCGGCTATACACGTCCACAATACGTAACTAATCTGACTGAAATTTTAACAGTATATAGAGTTGAATCTGGTAAAACTTATAGTGAAAATTTCAGGTCTCTATCCTGAATATTCTTAGAGTTATTTGCAAATTGCGTTGCAAATTTGCCCTTTCGCTTGCAAGCAGCGCCTCTAGCGGTGAAGATAGGAGGTAATATCAGCTGACCTAATGTACATGTAACACGAATTTTAACAGAAATTAGAGAAAAATCTGGAAGAGATATTTAGCCAAAGAAATTGAAATTGATAGGTTTTGGGCAAAGATAGTTGTTTTTAGTCAGAAAATGATGATGACGATATTGCTGTATCATGTTTGATTATCAGATACAAAATTATATCGGGGAAAATATTCCAAAAATCAGAGACCAGGGGTGAAGCCAATTCATTTTTAGTATGCAGGAACAAAAACAGTATTCCTATATCAAAACTATACAATAGCAAAGCAGTATATTCCATACCATGCACCCAATGTAATAATGTCTATGTAGGTGAAACAGGAAGACAGATAAAAGACAGAATAGACGAACACAGAAGAAACATTAAAAACAAAGACCCCAAATCTCTAATAGTGCAACATATCAGACACACAGATCATGAATTCAATCTAGCAAACCCCAATATTCATTACACAAACATAAACAGTAAATACAAAAGATTAATACTAGAAGCATTGATATCATCAAAATATAATAGTATAAACAGACATATAGATATTCCGGAGACATATGATAGGCTGGTCCAAAAACTCAAATAGAATTTTCGGTTTTCTCTTCATCACACCATTTTGCAATTTTGCATTTAATAATATCAGAAAATTAACTAATTTACATAACAATAATTTTTCTTAAATAATAAAATATAATATTTCATAGTTAATCCTAGATATGCAAAAATTTACCTGTTATATATATGTATATACATCTTTACTTGAAATTGTACCATTTTTTCCTGTGGAAGGGCCGCTTACGCCCGAAAGCTAGAAACGTTTTTCCCAATAAAAGAAACTCATCCTTTTTGATTCTATGCGTATTACAATATATTAAAAGGATTAATCGTATTAAATCTTAAAAAAGTTTTATTCCGCTCTATCAAAATGAATATAGAAACTTATGATTCCGAAACCCGTCAATACATGAATCTAATACGAAGATATTCCATCAAACTTGCAAAGTGGAGAAAGCATCTCATATTTAATAGGATTTGTGAAGTTAACAGTTTTATTCCACCTACCCTCAGAATAAAAGATCCCGTTAAAAACCATTTTTCAAATTCAATAATAAAAGATACCCAATTTAAACTACTCAGATCTAGAACAAAAGGATGTTACTCAAACATAAGACTCATTTCAAAAACCATAAAAGATCTAATAAGTATCGTATCTCAAAGAATCCCCCCAACAGAAATGCTACAGCTTATCATCAGCACCACTGAAGACATCAAAACCTTAAACTCCGCCATAGAGAGGAAACACCAAAAGAAACTTCAATTCTGGTCAAGAAAATACAACACCCAACTCATACCACCTGAAAACCAGCCTAATATTCTCAATTTATCCAGCTATGATCTCTCAACTGATGAAATTGACTATTTATCAAAGGGCACAAAACATAGATTCCCCACGAAAACAGATCATTATAAAATCATTGCAGGAGTCGAATCGGCCATAACTACCCTAACACATAATGAACAATCAAAAATCAGAAACTTAGTTACTACCTCCTTAGAAGAATCATCAAGAACGCCTATCTTTAAGCCCAATAATCAACATATAGCCAATTCACTAAGAAGCAAGAAAGAAATTGTAATTACAAAAGCAGATAAAGGTTCCCAAACAGTTATTATGAACACTCTAGATTATATATCAAAAATGAATGAAATCCTAAACAACTCCATAGTATTCAAACCTATAACCACCAATGAAAAATCTCAATCATCTGCCCAATATACAAAAGATCTAAGGAAGTTATACAGAGGCAATACTATTACTGCAGAAGACTTGAAATTATTCCTAGGAAACATAAAAAGTACCGCTTATATCTACGGCCAACCCAAGACCCATAAACCAGGTATTCCTATTCGCCCTATCATAGCATATCATATGTCTCCTATAGCCCCATTAGCCAAATATCTAGCAAACTTCCTTATCCCCATTCTAAAAGACAATCCTACCACCACATCCATACCAAAATTTATAGAAAATATACACAGCCTCCCCCCCTCTCCTAACAGCACCATGATTTCTTTTGACGTAGTTAATATGTACCCAAGCTTACCACACCATCTAATAATAGATAACACAATAGAAATTTTAGCATTAAATAATATTCCTCCAGATACCTCCTCTAAAATTATTTCATTAATTAAGCTCAGCCTACAACACAATATATTTTCCTTCAATAGCCAATTTTATAAACAAACCAAGGGCTCCCCCATGGGAAGTCCTCTCTCATCACCTTTGGCAGAAATAGTCATGAGAAAAATAGATAAAACAATAACCAACCTGTTTCCCACAGAAATCATCATCTGGCAGAGATACATAGACGACATCTTTTGTATATCCAAATCTAACAAAATAGACTCCATTTTTACCCAACTAAAGTCCATACATACTGACATAGATTTCACCATAGAAACAGAAAACAATAACACCTTACCATTTTTAGATGTACTTATACTAAAAACGCAAAACCAATACACAACAGAAATATACCACAAGCCAAATTCCACTCCAGATTATATACATTATTCCTCTTATTGCCCCATCAGTCACAAGATAAACACCGTTAAAACCCTTTCCAAACGAATATATACACATTGCACCACCCAACCCTCAAAAGATACAGAAACCCAATTTTTGATCAACAAACTCACTTCTATAGGCTATCCGAAAAACTTTATTTTAAGACATTTCTATAATCCTTCTCTCATAAGAAATAATCAGGTCTATAAATCGATATGTACAATCCCATATTCCCACAGTAGTTCCCACATAGCCAGAATTTTAAACAAACACGGTATCAGAACATATTATGAAAGCAACCCGAGTACATTAACCATTTTAAGAAACCCCATTACCAAAAACAGTATTCCTATATCAAAACTATACAATAGCAAAGCAGTATATTCCATACCATGCACCCAATGTAATAATGTCTATGTAGGTGAAACAGGAAGACAGATAAAAGACAGAATAGACGAACACAGAAGAAACATTAAAAACAAAGACCCCAAATCTCTAATAGTGCAACATATCAGACACACAGATCATGAATTCAATCTAGCAAACCCCAATATTCATTACACAAACATAAACAGTAAATACAAAAGATTAATACTAGAAGCATTGATATCATCAAAATATAATAGTATAAACAGACATATAGATATTCCGGAGACATATGATAGGCTGGTCCAAAAACTCAAATAGAATTTTCGGTTTTCTCTTCATCACACCATTTTGCAATTTTGCATTTAATAATATCAGAAAATTAACTAATTTACATAACAATAATTTTTCTTAAATAATAAAATATAATATTTCATAGTTAATCCTAGATATGCAAAAAATTACCTGTTATATATATGTATATACATCTTTACTTGAAATTGTACCATTTTTTCCTGTGGAAGGGCCGCTTACGCCCGAAAGCTAGAAACGTTTTTCCCAATAAAAGAAACTCATCCTTTTTGATTCTATGCGTATTACAAAATTCTAACAGAAAAAAACATTAAATAAAGCAGAATACACAAAGCCAGATCATCTCTCTCTAAAAATATCGCTTCTCAGACACAAAGTTTGGAGCGGGACGTTTCACATGAGTGACATCCACGACGGTATTTGAATAAAAACATTTAATCGGGTAAAACCCGGGCGTTGCCCGGGTCATTCGGCTAGTTTACAATAAAGCAAGAAACTCATCCCTCGGAAACTGTTCTATTTACTTTTTTAATCAATGCATTCATTAAATGTGCATCTAAGCCATCAGTCATTTTGTCTTCTTTGTGTGGAGTGTCATTGTGTCATACAATAACAGTTTGGAAAAACTTTTATATATTTTTTTATTAAGATTTTTAAAAAAATACTCATCCCAGCTGGGACTCAAATTCAGAATCTTTGGCTTAGAAGTTCAACACACTGTGTCCCAGTAGCACAGTGGATAACATGTTAGACTTTTATTTCAAAGGTCCTGGGTTTGAGTCCCAGCTGAAATAAGTATTTGCCTTCTTCTTCTTTCTTATCTCAAAGCCATGATAATCATGGTGGGTAGTTAGCAACTGCTTTTATTGTAAGCGCACCACATGTCTACACATGTGAAAAGCAGTTCGACTTTGCACTTACAAATGTGCCAGAGCCCCGTTTTGTTATTTGCACTCGCTGGTGGGGTTGGACTTTTGCAAGAATCGGGGGCCATTGGAGCATTATTTTTTTTTTTAAACAGAAAAAAGTTTCCAATGCGGGAATCGAACCCGGGTCGTAGTGGTCGAAAACCAAACGGTTTAACCAGCCTTCCACCGACCCTATTTGTGATGATTTCAATAAAATAATCCCTTGTATCCCAATATTAAGGTAGAAATATCAAGTCTCCAGAGATAGGTTTCTTTTCAAAGTTTTTTATTCACCAATCTCTCTAGCTTTCTCTCTCAGACATGGAAGCCCATCTACAGGAGAATTGTGTTTTTCTTCTGTAGCAGGGTTTCAATGCTCAAAAGCTAGAGAGAGATTTTTGTGAATAAAGATTTTTTAAAAGAAACCTATCTCTGGAGACTTGATATTTCTACCTTAATATTAATGAATTTGAATATTTCAAATTTATCATCATATTTGATTGGATAATCTTGCTATTTGTGAAAAGGCACAATTTGGATTATAGATTATAAACCCAAGGTAATAAGACCAAATAAATAAATAGTGTGTGACGTTTCGGTAACAGCGTTGTTACCATCTTCAGACAAAAGTACTGAATGATAGATAATGAATGAATAGATTCAGTACTTTTGTCTGAAGATGGTAACAACGCTGTTACTGAAATGTCACACACTATTTATTTATTTGGTCTTATTACCTTGGGTTTCTTGCAATTTGTGTTCAATACCTATCTATAATGGAACCCACATTATTTTAGATTTTAATCATACAGTAAAGCACAACTTGCTATAGAGCAAACCCCAATGTGGATTGAACTTTTGGTTCAATATAGCCATGGTGTAAATATAATAAGGATTTAGGTTAGTTATAAGGAAAGGGTCGTCATATATATTATATTTAATAAAGATTTTTTGCTGTTTTGAGATTAATTACTTGTAGAGAGGAATTATTGGTCATTTGCTTGATTTTGGTATGCAGTCGTGGAAGAGATTATAATAAAATTAGTTATCAAAAATAGCTTTAATTGCGCTAAAGGAATATATGAAAAACATGGTTTGATAAAAGTACTGCCTGGCTTAAGGCGTAAGAATAAAAAATGAAATACTTATTTACATAATGTACAAAAGGTTTTGAGCCGGCCAACGGGGAACAACAACAATGAGTATTTATAGGGAAAGTGTGACCTCTGGCGGTCGATTTAACAGAGTATTTGAATCGATGAAATATAATTTTAAATATATTCCTGGTTTTTTACAGCAAGATTCACTATTGTTTCTTTTTTACCTTTCCCCAAGTACATGTGGTACAGTTAATGATAATCATGATGGGTAGTTAGCAGCTACTTTTGCTGTAAGTTTGCACAACCATTGGCCACAAGTGTGCCAGAGCTCAGTTTTGTTACTTGTGCTCACTTGTAGGTTTCAACTTTTGCAAGAATCAAGAGCAATTGCTGGTCCCAAGCCCGGATGAAAAAGGAGGAGGGAGAGCAGTAACAAGCTCACTAAAAAACCTGGGCTCATCAGTCCTGGCTGATAGTACCTTGTAAGGGCTCAAGGGATACAGAATGAGTTTGTACTCCATGTTAGGAGCGGCTGTACATGGCGTCTGTTCCTCATGTCAGAGGTGGCCATTTCTTTTGGAGCTAAGTTGGCCTGCCACTGAGTAGTGCTCCCAGTCTTAATGACAAAGGCATTCTACTTCACCCAATCACTATGGAATCTCCTTTGATGAGCTCTGCTAATCATCAGCTGATATCATCAAAGGTCTCAGAGATGTAAAAATCTTGGGAAGAGTTGGGAGAAGAGAAGGTGGCCTGTTGAAGGTCTTCAGGAAAACACAACTCCGTCTTTGCCGGTCCCAAGCCCGGATGAAAAAGGAGGAGGGGGAGCAGTAACAAGCTCACTAAAAACCTGGGCTCAGATGGCCTGGCTGATAGTACCCTGTAAGGGCTCCTAATCCAGGGATACAGGATGAGCAGCGTTTGTACTCCATGTTAGGAGCGGCTGCACATGGCGTCTGTTCCTCATGTCAGAGGCGGCCATTTCTTTTGGAGCTAAGTTGGCCTGCCACTGAGTAGTGCTCCCAGTCTTAATGACAAAGGCAGACACATTCTACTTCACTCAGTCATGATGGTTGTCAAGGCTTGATACCTTAATATGATTGAGTGGAGATAAGAAAGAAGAAGTAGGAAAAAATAATTGGATAGGACAAAGAGGGAGGTGGCCTGTTGAAGGTCTTCAGGGAAAAACACAAGAATTGGATAGAGAGAGAAGACAAAGAGGAAGGTAGCCTGTTTAAGGCATTCAGGGAAAAACACAATAATTGGATAGAGGACAAAGAGGGAGGTGGCCTGTTGAAGGTCTTCAGGGAAAAACACAAGAATTGGATAGAGAGAGAAGACAAAGAGGAAGGTGGCCTGTTTAAGGCATTCAGGGAAAAAGACAAGAATTGGATAGAGGACCAAGGGGGAGGTGGCCTGTTTAAGGCATTCGGGGAAAAACACAATAATTGGATAGAGGACAAAGAGGAAGGTGGCCTGTTTAAGGCATTCAGGGAAAAAGACAAGAATTGGATAGAGAGAGAAGACAAAGAGGAAGGTAGCCTGTTTAAGGCATTCAGGGAAAAACACAAGAATTGGATAGAGAGAAGACAAAAAGGAAGGTGGCCTGTTTAAGGCATTCAGGGAAAAACACAATAATTGGATAGAGGACAAAGAGGGAGGTGGCCTGTTGAAGGTCTTCAGGGAAAAACACAAGAATTGGATAGAGAGAGAAGACAAAGAGGAAGGTGGCCTGTTTAAGGCATTCAGGGAAAAAGACAAGAATTGGATAGAGGACCAAGGGGGAGGTGGCCTGTTTAAGGCATTCGGGGAAAAACACAATAATTGGATAGAGGACAAAGAGGAAGGTGGCCTGTTTAAGGCATTCAGGGAAAAAGACAAGAATTGGATAGAGAGAGAAGACAAAGAGGAAGGTAGCCTGTTTAAGGCATTCAGGGAAAAACACAAGAATTGGATAGAGAGAGAAGACAAAGAGGAAGGTGGCCTGTTGAAGGTCTTCAGGGAAAAAGACAACTCCGCCTTTGCCGGTCCCAGGAGGAGGGGGAGCAGTAACAAGCTCACTAAAAAACCTGGGCTCAGCTGGCCCGGCTGATAGTACCCTGTAAGGGCTCCTAATCCAGAGAGACAGGATGAGCAGCGTTTGTACTCCATGTTAGGAGCGGCTGCACATGGCGTCTGTTCCTCATGTCAGAGGCGGCCATTTCTTTTGGAGCTAAGTCGGCCTGCCACTGAGTAGTGCTCCCAGTCTTAATGACAAAGGCAGATGCATTCTACTTGACCCAGTGTGGAGATAAGAAAGAAGAAGAAGAAGAAGGGAAAAAGACAAAAATTGGATAGAGGACAAAGAGGGAGGTGGCCTGTTTAAGGCATTCAGGAAAAAACACAAGAATTGGATAGAGAGAGAAGACAAAGAGGAAGGTGGCCTGTTTAAGGCATTCAGGGAAAAAGACAAGAATTGGATAGAGGACAAAGAGGGAGGTAGCCTGTTTAAGGCATTCAGGGAAAAACACAATAATTGGATAGAGGACAAAGAGGGAGGTGGCCTGTTGAAGGTCTTCAGGGAAAAACACAAGAATTGGATAGAGAGAGAAGACAAAGAGGAAGGTAGCCTGTTTAAGGCATTCAGGGAAAAACACAAGAATTGGATAGAGAGAAGACAAAAAGGAAGGTGGCCTGTTTAAGGCATTCAGGAAAAAACACAATAATTGGATAGAAGACAAAGAGGAAGGTGGCCTGTTTAAGGCATTCAGGGAAAAACACAATAATTGGATAGAGGACAAAGAAGAAGGTAGCCTGTTTAAGGCATTCAGGGAAAAACACAATAATTGGATAGAGGACAAAGAGGAAAGTAGCCTGTTGGAGGTCTTCAGGGAAAAATACAATTGGATAGAGGACAAAGAGAAAATGGGCTTCTGAAGAAAGTTATGTAGGATAAGATGAATGGTAAGAATTACCGATAAACTATATATACAGTCGAACCTCTTTAATTCAACACCCCAAGGGATCAGAGCTTTCGGTTGAATTAAAGGAAGTGTTGAATTAAAGTCAGATGATTAGCTAATCATCTAACTCGCTAAAATAATATTTTTTTTTTAAATAGCCTTGTAATATAAATTAATGATATTAATTGAAACCATTGGGTGTTTTTATTTTCATGATTAACTTTTAGTATCAGTGACAAAATGGCATTAATACATATTTTAGAAACATAAATAATTGTAACAAATAAATTTACTGGTAATGTGTTTCTTTTCAATAATATAATCAAATATTAACTCTACAGACATTAAAATAATAAATATAATATATTAAATAATATTTTATTCTAATTGAAAAATATAGCAGTTGAAAGGAAATAAATATGGTAAATTAAAAGAAAATTTTAAAATATTATTTTAAAATAATCATGAAGATCTTTTAAAAAATTCCTTTATAGATTTTTGTTTTTGCACTGAAATCCTATTCAGGATGTATTCCAGTTGGTCATTTTGAAAAAAACATGCATGCCTTTCTTCCTCTGAAATGTCTTTTAATAAATAAATTTTAATGTATTAAAGTCATCCACTGCTGCTGCAGGTGTTATTGATTTTTTGTTTAAATCTTTTAAAATAACACAGAAATGGAATTTTACACATATAAATTTACTGGCAATGCGTTTCTTTTAAATATGATCAAATATTATCTCTACAGACCTTACTGCAATGATATGAGTTATTGAATGAGAGGGCTTGGCTCATCAGTAGTGAACCCTCTCAGCGGTTTCGCCAAATTAATCTCTAGACCGCT